GTGTGTGTGAATGGGTGTGTATGTGTATGTGTGTGTGTGTGGGTGTATGTGAGTGTGTGTGAATGTGTGTTTGTGAATGTGTGTGTGAGCGTGTGTGTGAATGGGTGTGTATGTATATGTGTGTGGGTGGGTGTATGTGAGTGTGTGTGAATGTGTGTGGGAGTGTCTGTGTGYTTGTGTGTGTGCAGGTGAATGTGTGTGTGATGGTTCAATGGGGACGATGCCAGGCAGCCGCTCGCGCTCAGCACAGAAGGCCTGGTCCCCTGAGATGGGCCCCATGTCAAACCCGAGACAGTGCAGGCTTCATGGTCTCTCTTGGGCCTTTAGGAATCTTCCTTCTGGAGAACTGAAAGCCTCTGAGCCTCTCCCTTCCTGCTGGCTTTGGGAAGGCCCCAGTGTGCTGGGCGGGCAGCACCCAGGCCAGCCCTGGCAGGAGGCGCTGGTGTGACTCCTGGTCCTCTCTTCCAGCCCGCGGCTGCCTGCAGGAGCACAGTGCKGATGTCGGGCCTGCAGGCGCAGGAGGCGTGGGCTCACTGCCGCTGGCCCTCCACATCCGAGTCTGACAGCAGCGAAGAGGTAGGCCCCTCCCWGGTCTCCTTCCAGACAGGCCTCCGAAGGCCTGTGAAGGGCAGAGTGGCTTGACAGGGTGGCTGCGGAGTCACCAGGCCTGGGAGGGAGGAGCTCACGGGAGCAGCTGGATTTCCGTGTCTCCTGYGTCTCCCAGACTCTGTCTTTATTGTCTCTCACTGTCCCTCCCTCTTGCTTTTCCCCTCCTCCGGGGACTCCTGCACCCTGAGATGTGGGGCCTGGTTTTAAAGTGACGATCGATCGGCAGCTCTTCAGTTYTAGACCTGGGTATGTAGTCGGGTGGGCTGAAGAGGGCCATTGACTGCCCAGTGTTCACAGCTGTTCACTGGCTCTGAGGTCCAGGCCCAGACTCCTGACCTTCACGTCACCCTGGCCACCTGCAGCTCCTTGACCTGGTGAATCCCAGTGAGCAAGTCCACCCTGTGGGCTGCTAAGAGGCACCAATGAGCTGATGCCACACAATCTCAGCTCAGGGTCTGGAGTAGGGTAGATAGTCAGGGAGTGGCATTGGAAGTGACTTAAAATAACCCTATAGAATTAATAACATAAAATTCTGTCTTGAAATTATATTACATGTTTGTCTATTTATTGACTGCTCTTCTTACTAGACTGTACCTCTCCTGTGGGCAGGGAATGTTCACTTTTATCAGCCTAGGACACTGTCTGATACCCAGTAGGTGCTCAGTAAATATTTGTTGAGTTAATGCAACTGGGAAGGAAGTGGTCCAGAATCCAATATGAAGAGGAGGCCACTTGACTCCAGACCAGGGTAAAGACATCACGGTTACACTATGTGTTCATTCAAAATAGGGTAATATTCTTGATAGGTATTCAAAAATTCTTCCACTATTATACAACTGTATCCAGGTAACATATTTCTCAGCCCTTTCTATTTTTATTCAACTTTTGAAAATTTAATTCTGCAGTGCAAATTACATTAGAAGAGTGTAAAATCTCTCAAGCTCAGGAACTACACATAAAAACTTTATGTCCTCATGTTATTAACCTAGCCACACGGTGACTATTTTGCCTGGAAGTCCATTTTAGAATTAGGAAGCAATGAAACTCATATTGTGTGGGATGCTCTTCCTGGTGCAAAGGGGAAATAAAATTCAATTCATAAAATTGAGCATCACCCTATGGGCTGACTCCTGCATGCTGGCAGCTTCCCAGGGCCAATTCCCAGGTCATTTCTGAGCTTGCTTGTCCTGTCCATTAAGGATCTTTTCTTGGTGTGGGGACAAGTGCCAAGTGGCTCCTGGTGTACACTGTTAAACTCATGTCAGTCTTCACAGTGTCACATGGCTCTGCTCACCCAGAAGCAACTAGGACCAAAGCATGTCTCCCACAGTAGCTTACGTGGAGGAGGAGGCGGGGAGTGAAGCAGGCAGGTGCTGGTCCTGGTGGAGGTTTTATAGTGACCTGRGGAAGGTGTCCACCATGTGGGGATTACGCTGACTATAGGCAAGCATCTGGGACCACGTGGTGACAGGAAGGAAGACCATGCATGGTGGGCAGACAGGGCAACCGGAGGAACTATGTCCAGACCAAGAGCCAGTCTGTGGGTGGAAGCAGAACAAAGGGGCAGGGTGAGCGGGTGAGCGGGGGCTTCCCAGCACAAGAAATCATTTGGGGGTACCCCAAAGTGCCCGGGAAGCTGATGAGTTAAAATGGACAGAAATCCATGAGGAATGGAATTAGCAAAATGTAGGGGGGATAGGCACAGGTGGGGATGAAGAGGAACAGCAGCCAGTGGAGGGGACCTCAGGGTCCAGCCAGGTGGAGGAGGGGCTAGTGGTCATGTCCACCATTCCTGGCCTCCTCCTAATGAACATGGGGATGCCAAAGGATCAGATCAAGAATGGACTGGCACCAGGTGAGAGTGATATGGAGTCCTGGGGGTGGGCACAGAGGGGAGAGGGTTGGGCTCAGCAGTCATTGCAGGGAGAATTGGATTCTCGTTCATTCCATGGCTTTAACACAAGTGAAGTTCCTTTAATAAGCGTCCACCTAGCTTAACCCCTCTTCCATCTTTGGTTGGGAAAGTCCATTCTGATTGTGCAATTCTCCACTCTATTCCAACTTTCTAGCCGTGTGGTGAGATCATTCTCTTCTCTTCCAATTCCAGGTTTTAAATTCTGATGTGAAACTATGTCAGCCTCTGAAACAAGATGGTTTTGAAAATAAACTCTCAGGTTTCTTGCTCTTAATATTAGAGGATCATAAAGAATTATGAGCAAATTAAAAAGAAAAGAATTTCCACACATTCAAGGAAGTAGTATAAAGGGAAAAGAAGAAAATTGAGATTTAAAATAATACCTGAAAACTCTGAAATGGAGTTCTTTTAAAATTTTTATTCTAATTGACAAATAATAATTGCACATATTTATGGGGTGCAATGTGATGTTTTGACCTATGTATGTATTAAAGAAAGATTTCTTACACAAAACAGAGAAAAAAGTTAGGTAATAGCTGTCAGCCACTTTCAGTGAAAGTACCTGATGATATTACAAACTTGAAAGACCACCCACCAGGATGAATTCAGAACACGGAATAGAAAAATCACTGTTAAAGGTAAAAAATGGAAGAAATAAAACTAAATAAGAAAGCCCCAGAATATGGATAGTAAAGATCATTTGACAAACATACGTAGAATACAGAAGAATTTCCAGAGTGAGGACTATAACATCAAGAAAAAGGAGAGCCATGAAAAAGAGGTCCCAAGCCCCAAATGATGACTGATAAAGACTGAAACCAAGGGGAAAGGTCTGCTGAGATGTAATAAGAGAAACRGTCCTGAGGACGAAAAGTCTGGCCTTTCCCCTGGTTTTAAGAAGAATGGTAGCCGGAAAGGAATTGAGAAAAGAAGCTTCTAAATTTGTAGACACTCTCCTCCTCTCCTTAACAAACAGGCTGTGAATTGAGGGTAGTTTCTGTCTTTTTTTTTTTTTTTTTTTTTAGTGGAGTCTGTAGCGCAGGTGGGAGAGGAGCACCCACTCAGCCACACCCTGGTGGCAGCCATCTGGCCTGCGCTGTGGGCCCCTCCAGGTGGGTGCTCCTTCTCCTCTCTGGCCTCTGACTTGGAAGGCGGGTGGGTGAGTTTGGCAGAGCTTCAGCCAAGAGACCCCCGACCATCCAGAAGAGAGGGGTGGAGGCAGAGTCACAGCAGTAGCCCGGCTCAGGGAAGGAGTGACTGATTTGCTGCTTCCCATTTCAAAAGAYAGAAATTCAAACACGAGTGCAAATCCAAGAAGACAGAAATCGGCTAAGCCAGGAAGGGATGATTCCCTGGATCCCATTCCCAGAAAGGGAGGGAGGAGTTGGCCTCACAACGGACTCACCTAGGCACCGGCCCTCCTTCCCCTTTCCTTCCCCTTCCCTCCTCCTCCTCCTCCCCCTCCCTCCACCCCCACCTCACTCCTGAGGCAGAAGGGCAAGCACACGGTGCCTCCAGGTTCCCCACCTGAGCATCTGTTATCTCAGGTTGGAGTCCCCTCCTCTGTGCACATACATTTACTGTTTATTTATCGATTGAATTTATTTCCGATGTGCAATGTGATGGTTCTTTTTTGGAAGGTGAGAATTGAACCCAGGGCCTTGCACAACCCGGGCAGGTGCTCCACGCCGGAGCCACATTCCAGGCCCTAATGTAACCCTCAAATAACGCCTTTCTGGGGAGGTGATTCCCGTACCACACTATTCATGTCTTTAATGTGCCTAGTYGGGTGGTTCTCAGGAGATTCACAGGCTGTCGCACTGCCAGCACGGTCTAAATCCAGAACACTTCCATTTCTCTGAAAAGAGACTCCTGGACTGAGTCATTCTCTATTCCTCACTATTCCCCAGCCCTATCATCAGTCACTGATCTGATTTTTGTGGGTGAATCTTTCCATTCTGGCTGTTTTCTGTAGGTGGAAACAYACATGACCCTTTGTGACTGACTGGTTTAACTTAACATGTTTTGAGGGTTCATACATGTTGCAGAATGTATGAACATGTTCATATGTAACCTTTACAAAGGAATAAAAGGTACTTTATTTCTTTTTATTGTTGAATAATTTCCCATTGTAGGATATGCTACATTTATTTGTTCATYAATTGATCAATATGTGGGTTGTTTCTACTTTTTAATTATTGTGTATAATGTTCTGAATAGCCAAGTCACATCTTTATGAGGGTATGTGACTTTAGCTCTACTGAGAATTGAACTGCTGGATCACATAGTAGCTCTTTAATTAACTTTTGAGGAGCTGCCAAACTATTTCTGGTAGCAACTGCACCGTTTTACATCCCTAAAAGTGGTCCATGAGGGTTCTAATTTTTACATATTCTTGCCAACACTTGTTATGGACTGTCTCTTACTTTAGCCCTTCTGGTGGGTGTTAAGTAGAATCTCAATATGGTTTAATTTTCATTTTCCTGGTGACTAATGATCAGCCATTTGTATATCTTCTTTGGAGAAATGTCTATTCAGATCTTCTCCCCATGTTTTAATTGGGCTGTTTATCATTTTCTTGTTGAGTTATTCACAAATATTTTATCTTACTTTGTGTGTCTTTTTACCTTCTTGATGATACCGTCTGTTAAGTCCATTGTTTCTCTTTTGTTGTCTGTGTGAGTYTTACATTGAAGTCTGATCTATTTTGACCTGGTCTTTGTTTGTCATGTGGGGAGAGGGGTCCAATGACGTTGACTTTTTCTCGTTGTTTCCAGTTGTACCAGCATTAATGTTGAAAAGACCATTCTTCCTCCACCGAATTGTCCTGGCATGTGCCCCTGCCCAGGGCCACCCACCATGTGGGGCCAGGGCACTCCCATGGCTGTTCGGGAAGGAGCAGGCAGCAGGCGGGCAGGAAGGTGGCTTCTGGACACCTGTGTGGACGTTCAGTGGTTTCATGAAAGCTACTTGTAGATGTTAACACCTTGTTCTACTGAAGAAATTGTGGGACAGTCACAGAAAGAAAACTCCAGAATCTGACTCATATTTAGTCTGTTTGCAAGTTGAGAAAAMGAAATTCCGTTTCTAGTCTGCAACGTTTGGAAGTATGTTCCAAGTCACTGACAGCCTTGGAGTCAGTGTAGACTTCACCCCGTTGCTCTTCCTTGCGTGCTTTCTTGAACAGGGGTTGGGCGTTGCATGGAATCACTTCATACAATATGCATTCTCATTGCATTAAAAAACATGATAGCTCAGAGTCCTCTGGATAATATTTAGGATTKTTTTAACCATATATTTTCTTTTTCATGTGCTGACACCTACTGATATTGCTTACATTGCTTCAGATGATTTTTGGGGACATGATGAGGTCCTATAGGTGGAGAAACAATTATCTACTTGGTAAGTTGAGAACTGTTCTTTTTTCCCCCTGAAACAATCGCATATCGCYTTTCTTTGTGAGTCATTTGAAAGTAGAAACGCCTAGGTACAGCCTTTGATCAATTGCACTAGCTGCAGAAAATAAGCATTTCTTTTCACTTTGCTCCTTTCTTGTCACTAAGTAGTAGTAGTAGTAGTGATAATAATAATAATACAATTATTCCTGTAGGTATTTCTCTGTATTTTTTTTCATCGCTTTTCCATATCCAAGTCCATGTGGTGACCCCACATCTCTGCAATCAGATGAGGCCAAAGCTGATGGTCCCTCATGAGGGTGCCGTCATTTGAACACCCTTGTCCCCCCTGGTGCACTCTCTGGGTTGCAGGGCCCGGGTGGGCACTGATGTGCAGCTGGGGGGATCAGGACTCACCCACATCTGACAGATGGGGGTTGACCTCTGTCGTCCCCACTGTGCGACTTGAGCTGACATCTCTGAGTCTCCTGGTTGGGGGAAGAAGGTCTTCTCTTCTGGCCTCTAATTTGAAATGGGGTTGGCAAGTGTTCTGTGACTTAGGAGCCATCTTTGTGTCTTTCATGCTTTTTTCCTGTTGGTGCTAATGGTGCAAAATTCTTTGGTGGCCTCCTGAAGCTTCTTTGTTTAAGAGGCATTTTTGTGGTATYATTTACACAATACTAGAACATTCTGGAAGTGGGCAGAGGAGCCTCGTCTTATGGCTCTTACTGTGTTACAGGTCTCATTCCTGAGGAACCCAGAAATGAGCAATATTATGATCCGTCGCTTGGTAAGTGGTTTATTTCCTTCAGACTCTTTTCTGATCCACCCAGCCTGTGCTAAAGCCACTCCATAGGCGTCAGACACCAACATACAAAACATTTTAACTGAAAATGAAAAGAGTAGTGATGCAGGAGGCTGCTTGGCACATCGCTGGAAAGGTAACATCGAGGCACCAGCTCATTTGAAAGTTATCAAGAATTGAAATGCTCCTGCGCCACCCCAGCGCAGTCTCTGAGCAGTCCACACTGATGATCTGTTCRCCAGACACAACCCACCTCCTCAAAAGTGGTGAAGCTAACTTGGTCCCTTCCCACAGCACCTGCTTTCCCACTGAATCTTTGCAATGGCTCTGCAAACCAGCTATGCCCCCTGTCTGCACGGGTGAGGGCAAGAGAGGTAACGCAGGGCACAGACTGGCAAATGCAGAAGCTTACCCTGCAAATGGCTCACCCCGTTCCCCACCCCACGCGYGGCAGCTCTGTTAACACTTTTTGTAGGTGAACAGGCTAAGGCGGTGCATCCTAAGTTGCTCAAGGTCGACCGCCACATCCAGGCTGCTCATGGCAAACAAGGCTCTGGACAGGTCTGTCTAAACCTGTGTCCTATTTATTTTCCAGAAGCCTGATGAAGTTCAGAGTCTCCCACTAAAGTGCTTAACACATGCTAATATTCTGATGAGCTCAGTCTGAAGATTAGGCTTACGATGATTTATTTGAGTGCTAGGACTTAAACCTGAAGCTTATTTTTGAAAAATGCCTGTCACTTTGGGAAAATGTGCAGTTACTTTAACTGTGACCACTGCTGAAAATGTTCTTTTAACAGTCATTTGGGAATCATCTTCAGACTATCGATTGCTGTGTGTCAAAATCTCCCCAAATTTAGCAGCTTAAAATAACAAACTCCATCTCCCAGCTTCGGGGGATCAAGAGCCCAGGGGCAACCTGGCTGGGGGGTTATGGCTTGGGGGTTACAACAAGGTTGAGACACGCTGTCAACAGGGACTGTGATCTCAGCCGGAGCTTGACTGGGGATGGGAGATCCACCTGCCAGCTCATGCACGTGCTTGTAGGAAGGTCTCAGTTCTCCGCGGGCTCTTGGCTTGGGAGCTACGGTCTCTCACCCTATGGGCATTTCAGTGAGGCTGTGTGAATGTCCTGCAAAGAGGGCGGCATTTCCCCAGGGACGATGGAGATAGATAGATACATATATGGTGGGGAGGAGAACATGAGTCTAAGCCAGGGAGGGAATGCCGGCTGAGAGGAGCAGTCTTCCATAACCTCACCTTGCCAGTGACCAGTGACAGATCTTCACTACTCACGCACACAACCCTGGCCGGGGGAGGGTGCTGACAGGAGGCGTTGGAGGAGGCCCCTGTAGATGCCATTTGGAGATGAAAAATATTTTATGGATTAATGTGACCAATCCTGTTATATATCTCAGATGGGACCTCTAAGCCAAATTCTAACCCCTCTTGGGCCTTGGGAGCATCACGGATGCAGACTTTGAGCCATCTCAGAGGCAGCTGTGAACTGGACAATTCAATTCAGTTCGGTTCAACCCATGTGTGTGACAGGACAGGGCAGATCCCACAGAGGACTGAGAGAGAAAGGTGACAGTCCCTGCCCTKGGGTGCTCACAGGATGGCTGAGACCCATCCCAGGAGGCCATGCAGGTCGAGGAGAGTCACTCTGGGCTCCGCTCTAGCCCCAGGCCACAGGGAGCCGGGGAACTGGATGAGGAATACCAGGGATGGGGCCCCGGGTCCTCCTGGCAGTGAGGTGGGGGTGCTGGGCACGACCCTTCTCATGAATTCAGTCACCCACTCTGTGTCGCCATCACGGGACTGACGGCCTGCGCTCCTTCCTATCTTTAGACCTGAGAAGGAGTTTCCCTCCTGGCAATGGAAGGAGCCCGCGCTACCAGCCCAGACCGAGAGCCAACACTGGCTTCGAGTAACGGCCCTGAGGTGAGGGGACAGCGAAGTCTGCCTGTAGAAGCAGAGGGGACTTGGAGGGAACGCCTGAAGCTGGCCGCCTCCTGGCCCCTGCGGTGTGCGGCCCTCGCCACCTGCCCTTCCTCCTCCTTTTACCTCCTCTGGTTACTGCAGAGCAGTGGTGTCCTGAGTCCCATGCACCCTCCCTCGCCTCCCAAGCTCCCCCACTCCAAGAGCAAACAGACCAGGAACAGGGAAGACAGCCCCCTCCTCTGACCTGTCTCACCCCCCACCCGCTGCCCTCCTCCCTGACCGCCCCACGCTCCTCAGCACCCTGTGGCCTGTGGCTGCCGCCCCAGTCTCCTCCCTTCTCTGCTTCTTTGCAACCCAGATTTTAATCTTTCAAATCTGAAATCTGATGGGGTTTCCCTTTCTCGATCTGTAATTAATACTGGCGACATTTGAACGAGCTCCTTACCCAGCGCTTCCCTGTTCTTTGGATTGTCATCTCTTCCTCTTGCTTGACTTTAACCGTCACTCATGTGTCTTCAGACGTGTGTCTCTTACCTCGCTCTATACAGAAATCCAGGCCCTACGTCACCGAGGCCGTTAGGTGCAGGTGCAGGGAATCTCCGTGGCCTCCTGAGACTCAGCTTCCCGCCATGCTTCCTTTCTCGACTGATGGCATCACCAGCCCCCTAAATTGGCTGAGGGTCTCACTGAGCTTCTTCATCCTGCGTCTCCTCCCAGCATCCACAGGGTCCGGCCCTGTTCACTTCCCCCCGGGTTTTCTCTGCTGCTGGCCCTCATTTCTGCACACCACCCCTGAACCCCTGATTGCTTCTCGCCTAGGGTCCTGATCCCACGCCTTGCTTGCTGCCCTTGTCTTGAACACAGAGGAGACCCGGGCCCTTTTCCACCTACACTCTGATGCTAGCTTCTCTTGTGGAGGAAAGCAGAGGAGTGAGGAAGCCAGGCGGGAGCCCAGCAGAGGACGGCCTCCACCTTCCCCGGGGCTGTGGGGAGCTGCAGACAGGGCCCTGCTGTGTCACACCAGAGCCTCACCGGGACCTACGTGCCCAGTGTCTAGGGATCAGAGCCAACAGAGCTAGGTGCTTTTTGAAGATTTCCAAGTATTAAAGGGGCATCACAAAAGGCACATTTGAAAGGAATCTCAAGATGCAATTATAGATGTTGATTCAGTGTGTAGTTATGCTTCTCAGCACTCTCTCTCTCTCCTCTCTCTCTCTCTCTCTCTCTCTCTCTCTCTCTCTCTCTCTCTCTCTCTCAACACATACTGGACAGTTTATGTAACACTGCATGGTTTCAAGCATGAGGTCCAGATGCCCTGGCATGGCCCTCAGTGGCCCCTAAGCTCCAGCATTACTGAATTCCTGCACCTCCTGCTGCTGCAGCCCCCAGATCACCCTGGCCAGCTCTGCCCCTGTGTTCAGGCCTCGGCTCAGCTGTCACTTCATGATGCCACAGACCACCAAAGCCGAGAGGGTGATGTCCTTCCTGGGGTTTCCATAGCCCTCATTGCAGGACTTTGCAGTAGCTTGTCTTCTCTGCCCTTCGGGCTCTACCAGACTCCCCGAGAGCAGGGCTTGGGACCTTCCCCTGCCCTCATCCCCCAGGGCCCTGCACCCAGCCTGGGACACTCAGTACATCAACGTCAGCAAATATTTTATGAGTGGATGGTGGCAAGCTTCACTTCGGGTTCTTGAGAGTTTTTTGAAAAAAAAAAAAAGTCTATGTCTATGAATCTGAGTCAAGCATAGCATAATTAATTTTTAACCACCAGAATTTAAAAGAAGTCAACTGACATTTTACAAAAATAGCAGGAAAACTCACCAGCAAGGCTGTCTTAGATAAGGATGCAAGTGGTAGATTTTCTTTTTCATCTATGGCACATGCTAAAAATAAAAACCAGCTTCATACTGAGATCAAGAAACTATTCACTATGARGAAAAAGTTTCATCATATTTCTGTTTTATAGATGCAAATTGCTTTTTTTTTTCCTTGTGAAGCATCCAGGCCAGCAGGGGGGTAGGATTCTCAATGGACTGGCTGCGTGGTATATTAGTAACATGATTATGAGTGAGTAATGAAGGATATAATTGTGCTGGTGGAKATACACATACATGTATAGCAACACAAATGCACCATCCGATTTGGGCAAAGAAAGTGGTCACCTGAAACATGTCTTTAGAGGTAACACAGACTGAAGACCAAATGTGGCAGCCCTGGCCTGGCCCTTGAGCTTGGCTGGAGTCCCAGTTATGTCCCTGCACAGGAGGTCACGACTTTCTGCAGGGCAGGTGTCTACACTGCTCTGGGTCCCCTAGAATCCTAAAATGGGGCTGGTAAGGCCAGCACAGGGGATCCAGTGACAAGGCCAATCCAGAGGCAGGTGGAACCCGGGCCTGGTTCTGAGTCTCTCCTCCCACAGCCGTCACCCAGCCGGTGACCCGTGACCTCTCAGGTTTCTCCAAAGGCTTGTTACCATGCTTTGTTCATTTTTGTTTCCACTAGACCTTGAAACCCTTGAGGATGCATTACCTTGTTATCTTCATTAGTTATTTTAGTTTAGTTTAATAGCAAGCAGAAATACTATATGTCCACATAAAATTATTGACAGTATCTGTTCTTAGCAGAGTATCATAACTGGTCAAGTTGAGCGGAAGGAATGAAGGAGCACCTGACCGAAAACAAGATCGCCGTTTTCAAATTGCCAGTGAAGTTTTCCCTCTGGGGAACTCTCTGGGGCCTGAGACTTGGCTCATTTATCATGGAGTCCCCAGGCCTGACCCAGTCCCTGGATTAAAACAGGAGCTGAGTGTTTCTGTGATTTAATAAACACTCTTCTAGTATTCTTTCAGGTAGCTAAAAATGATTTAATACACAAATAGATGGTGAAATGCAATATTTAAAAAAACAGTTCAGAAATTTTAAAATTTGAACTCGACAGTAGGAAATATGGAAAACCAGGGCCCAGCTCTCCTGTTGAAGGGATCTATTTGAGAGTGCTGCACTTTCATGGGGTCTGTAGCTGGAACCGTTCTGACTCATCAGTAACGCTGTGGCCAGAGACCCTCAGCACCGGGCAACGGCACCTGGCTGGCACGCCTTCCCCAGGCTGTGCTGGGGACCAGCACAATGCCCAGGTGCTGCAAAGCAGCAGCTCTGTGAGGCCATGGTCAGCGAGTGCGTGGGGCACAGAATCAGCCCCGTTCATTCCATTTACACAGTGAGTGCTCATCACATGCCCGCCTGCGCCCAGTGAGGCACCCTCGGGTGTACCAGGTCTGTGTGGGGTCCTCACACGCTGCCTGCGGTACACGCCGGGCAGCACTGCAGAGGAGGCTTATTTTGCCACCCCACTTTAYGGATGAGGAAGCAGAGCACTTAGGCACCCTGCTCAGGTGCTGGGATGGGGATCTGGCTTCCCAGGCTGGTCTCCAAATCCCGTCTTCCTTCCCRTAATTATCTGCCTCCATGTTTAGAATGGCATACAAGGGCAGAACGTCAAGGACTGCTTGTTTAAGGTACATCTGTTTTGTGTTGGGTGGAACCAGTTGTGTCTTTGCCAACTAGAAGGCAGAGCTGTGACGGGCAGAGTTGGTAACTTGCCTGCCCACCATCAGCCATGTAGGGGGGCTGGCCCCTAAAGGCTGGGCCCCCCGTGGCTTGATGGGTGATTTCAATATTTAGGGATCAGACTCATTAGTGAGCACGTCCTCCCATGGTCTCACCTGGGAGCCCACCCACCAAAGGGAGCCAGGTGCCTCAAGAAGATGGGGAAGATSCAGCCCAGGCTCCAGAGGCAGAAGCTGGCCACGGGCCACTCCTCCTATGCTCTGCTCTGACAGTCGTTGGCTGCACACTCCCGCCAACCCCTTCACCAGGTGCAGGCGATTCTCACCAACCGCTGGAGTTACTGTCTACAGCTGTTTCGAACACTGAATTAGCCAACGCTGAGTTACTGCTCCTACGGGCAATATGGGTTTAGGTGCTGTTGAGCCTCTGGTCACCTGTTCCTCAACAGATCAGTATGTGACCTTGTATGTGTGTTTCTGCCTAGATGCCTCAGGTGGCATATTTTCTTGACTCATTAACATTGAACTCACAGGCTGAAAGGAGGTTATCAACACGTGCGTTTCTCCATAAGGCAACCTCCCTGCCTGGCAGCACTAGGCACAACTACACTTGGGCCATTTTAAACAGTCACAGCATCCACAAGGCCACAGACATGCATAAACCAGCACTAAACAGACCAGGAAAAGGGCTCTTTTTATAGCATGAGGACTGGAACAAGAAAGCCCACTGCTGCCCTGGGTGACCTCAGCTGGGAACAGGTGGGTGGGACCACACTGTGTCCAAGAACGAAGGGAGAGCAGATGAGCAGCTTCGGGAGACACAGTGAAGGCCAGTGAGTAGGCGCACTCCAAGGACAGCCTGGGAACTGTGGGCACCGCCTGGACGATGTCCCCCCTGCATGAGCTTGTCCCTAGCGTTCCCTTAGTCTCTGTGTTCCCTTCTCATCCTGTCTTTAAGAAAAGCTGTCCCCATTTGTGCGCCAGGCCCTCGTCACTCCTCTGCTACACACCAACCCCTCCCCACGTGGTGACCCCCTCCTGGACGCCTCCCCAGCCTGTGTCCCCTTCCTCTGCTGAGCCTCCTGGCCCCGTGGGATGCTGGTGACCACTCCTTTCCCGACATCCTCTGGCCTCTGGGATTTTGTCCCCTCCACTAGCTCTCCTCTCTGGCCAAGMCTTCTCCCTGCTCTTCTCAGGTCCCTCACCTTCCTACTGTCCCCCAGTGGTGACAATCACCAAGGTTTGGACCTTGGCTCTCCCTCTGCTCACTGCCTTCATATCTGTCCCAGGCACCCCCAGGTGACGCCCCTACCTGGTGGCCAGGTTGCTCCACTGGAATCCCAGGCTAGAGTGATTTTCAACTGCTTGCTAGACACCCCCACCAGAATATTCCATATAAAGCTCAGAACAGGGGTTTCCCCTTAGGGAACATACTCCTCCTCCTGCGTCCACTCATCCTCCAGGCACCCGGCCTGAAGCAGATCCATCCAGACCTCCTCCCCTTCCTCCYGTGACCCAGTTCTGCTGGTCCTTCCTTTGACATGTTCCTGGYTCTGCCCTGTCTCTGCGTGGTCTGCTCAGCTCCAGCTCGACTTCTCCAGCTGGGCTTGGTGTCTCCGCACAGAGTCATCTTGTTCCCTCAAAGGCTCTGTCACGAGTTCTGACACAAGTCCTCGCCAGCTGGAGGGCCCTGCTCACCTGCAGGATGAAGTCCCAGCTCCTGGACGCTGTGGTGCCTGAGCACCTCCCTGAAGCAGTGTGGTCCCTGTCTGGGTCCCTGGCTCTGCCTCCAGTTTGCATGAAGGGTCTCGTCCAGCTGCTGGCCCCGCTGCGGCACTCAGTACTCCCACCCCAGCTGGCCCTAAGGGCAGCTGTCTTGTCTTTCCCTGTCCTGGGGATGGCCTGCACGCAGGCCTCTCTGGAATCGCGTCCACCACCCTGTGCTCTGACTGGGTCCTCTCCTCCACTAGCTCATGAGAGTTTTTCGGTGCAGCTGTGCCTTTTTGATCCTTGTCATGCCCAGTAAACGCTTCGTGCTTGGGCGTTTCCTGAGTGGGTGAGAGGATGGACCAGCATTCCCTTCTCCAGCCCTGGGTCTGSAGATGCCCACCGCGACAGCCAGCCGCTCCTTTATGGCTGGACCAGGGCCTTCCTTCCCAGACGCAGGCCACAAGCACCTCCTTGAGACACGGGCCAGCACCTGGCTCCAGGTGTCTCTCTTTAGGAGAAGAGCTTCCTTTCTGGAGGGAAGTCTCTGTCCCCCGACTCCATTACTTCTTCTTCCCACAGTGTCTCTTGCTCCTTGGTGGTGGTCGGTCAAGGAGCTGGCTGCTTTGCACAGTGGCTCCCATCTCTCGGATCTGCTCCTGGGCGGTCCTGGGAGTCCTGGGTCCTGGGCACCCCGCACAGGAATGTGGCTGCTCACCATTTCTGTCTAACGCTCCCTTCCTCCTCTCTTCACAGCAAAACATGCTCGGAGGGAAGAGAGGTCGCAGACAGGAAAGACGCTACAAATCGCATGACTTTCCTCCCGATCAGTGTGGTCTGTAATAAATGCTTTCCTTTCCCCATGAGACTCTTTCTTTTATTGCTCGATATAAAAAATAATAATATAAATTTTTAGATGAAAAACTAAATACATGAGAATATTATTATTAGCTAAGGATTTGAGAAGAAGACTCACGAGGAGACTGTGTAAGCAGTCCCAGGGGCTCTGTGTCAGGAGAGATGGTGGCTCCCTTCATGTCCAGCTTTAACRTTGAAAAGATCATCCACATACCCCAAGAATTCAAGATGTCAATAATGGAGGGATTCAGGTGGGGCAGGGCACAGGGTGGGGAGAGAGGGGACATGCCAACTCTGCATCCTTTCTGCTCAATTTTYTTGTAAAACTAAAACTGTTCTAAGAATAAAGTTTAGAAATAAAAAATTCATTGAGAGGCTAAGGAGTAAGAAGTGTTACMGTCGATCACTGTCCCCATGAAATACTGCCATTACTCTTCCCTTCTATTTTCTTGGTCTAGGAAATCAGTAGGGAAGTGACTTTTTCATCAATGTAGGTATTGCTAGGAGGGTCCCAAGGGAATGAGGTCTGTGTGCTGCAAGTCACCTGTTTATAAATGCACCCCGAAGTAGGTACATTCGTGGGGGGCTGAAGGGTAATGCGAGAGTCTGAGAGTGTGAGAATCCCAGGCTCACTGGGGTCCCTACTGGGACTGACACYATATCTGTTCCCAAGGTGTGGACTGAAGATGGCACTTTCTGGACCATGACGAGCCATGTTGCCACCAGGACCCTGCGCCTGGACACAAAGAGCACTCTTCATTGCTGCCCAGTGGGAAGGGCTTCACACTTTGCAGTGGCTGACAAGGCTTGTCCCTCCAACTCTTCTATTTTTCACCCCAGGGTTTTCCTGAGTATTCTCATGCACTTATTTTATTTCAACTTGAAGATCAGATTGTCAACTTATGAAAAGTTATCTTGACATTTTAAATCTAGTTAATTACATCAAATTTATAGGTTGATTTTTATGACATTGATATYGTTAGACTTTTGAGTTTTGTTCTGCAAGACTAAGACATAACATTTMCAATTATTGGACTCTTACATCTCCTAATAAATTTTAAGAATTTTCTTAGATGTGTTCTGCAAATTTCTTTTTAAAATTGTTTCTTGGGATTATTGTTTTGGTTGTTATTATTGATGGAATCTTTCATTATTAGGCTTTATGATAGAGACTGACTAACCCATTTTAGGTTTTGGGCCTGGTTTCCTGCTGAAAGTTCATAATGTTGCCACTAGGTTTTCAGAAAATACTCTTGAATGATGCATTCATTTAATCATAACTTTTGAAATAATATTGGTTCAGACTTTCCATTTTTGAAATGTCACCTTTTTCTTTTTCCCATTATTTTTTGGTGAACACATTCCAACAGGCCCAAYTAATACTGGGATGAAAAACATCCTTCTCTCATCCCTTGCTTCAACAGCATTCTAAGCAGCATTTGAGAGCTTCATTATTAAGTACAATGCTGCCTTCTGGTTTAGTGTGCAAGGAGCTATATTTCTAATCAGAAGACTGTATTCTTCTACTGTTAAGGGTTTATGATATAAACATGGATTAAACTTTGTCAGACATATTAAAACCATCTTATTATTTCTTCTTTGGTAATAAGATAGAATGAATCATACAGAGAATCATTGGGATTGAACCGTC